CATGAAGCTACTGAGATGTATAGGGGTGCACCTCTCGCCACCACACCTTCCTTACCCTCTTATTAATCACCACTCCCCATGAAGCTACTGAGATGGATACGGGTATACCTCTCACCCCCACACCTTCCTAACCCTTTCATTATTGATCACCACTCTCCAACAAGCTTCATGAGGTGTCTTCAGCAACGCTATTTTTTTCTGATTTGGTGGCCTGGGTCTCCATGGCCATACTTTCAAGAGTGACACCTCAGTTTCGCAAATTTTCTATAGATTTTGATTGGCTAACGTTTCACCCAGATCAGCTGGATGAGAGTACCTGGGGAAGCTAGTTTATCTAACATGGCTACCTTGTCAGAAAAGGCCTACATGCAACGAAAGGAGAGCAATAACACATTTTTGATCAAACGAAGACGCTTGAATTCAATTTTATTACTAACCCCGTTTTGATAAATCAAATCAACCACTTGTGACATACACTTCCTATTTGTACCCAAACTGTCCTTAAAACGGTTAGAACATGTACGTTTCAACTATTCAGGGAAAACAATTTATCTTGTCACTTCTACTTTTATAGTCTGCTACGCAGGAGCTATTAGTGCCGTCACGCAGCAGCGCTCACTCGACTAGGGGTGTGTGTGTTGCCCGATGACACTAACAGCGCCTGCGTAGAAGACTACTTCTTTTAGTGCGAAATCTAAAAACAGTAACTTGGCTGGGGTAGAAATTTTCACAAAGGATCCCGGCTGAGGTTTGCCAGGAAATAACTTCGGTTTTCACCCAAATCAATTGATTTATGCCAGTGAAATGTTGGTGGATGGTAAAAAATTAGATCTATGGGTGGGTATAGCTTCTAACTACTGTTCAGTCTTGCTTAGTTACACAACCATTGTAATTGCAAAGGAGGACTGTTAACCTTACTATATCACATTAAATATTCTAAATTTCATTTCTTAAAATGAAAATGTACTCCTAAATCTACTATTCTTTGAATGACTTTGAAGACATTCCTGAAAACCTTTAGATCCTGTTCTTAAGGAAGTACTCTGCCATGGCAACAATAGGTGCGCCCGTGGGTATGCCAGGGAATGGTCCACTTGAGCCTGCGATGTCCATGTGAGAGAAGCAAATAGGCTCCTTGGAATCAATGCCATGCTGTGGAAGATAGAAATATATAACTTAAACAGAGCAAAGAAAACTGGTCTGTAAATAACAATAATGGCTGTAATGCGTTACACATAGTCTCCTAAAGATTAATGTTCATCAACCCTTTAGCTTGAGCATAATACCTTCCTAAAATACATTTGTCTTTCTCCATTCTCGTACCCAGGCTCTTTTCACCAAGAAATCGAAGGCTCTTGGTCTTCAGATATGCACATGCTCCACTTATTCTGACCTCCGGTATAAATTCAAACCGTGTTTTTTTTCAAAAGAAAAGCGATCAAGCTTATTTATACATTGTTTATGGAACAGTTTATTTGTCTGTGATTAACATTCTGGAAAAATAAGCAATTTAGCGAGACCCTCATGTGTATGGTAAAGTATTCAAATTTCAAAATTGTAAAATCAGCGAATCGGAAACAGATGATTATGCAAGAAATTTAAACCAATCAAATTTACGGTCGATATGTGTGTTACCAGAGCCTTCGATTTTTCGTTAGAAAGCTGAGAAGGCTTTGGTACGAGAATGGCCTTTCTCTTGAAAATAAGATTCTTTGTTTAAGTTGTATCTATATTCATACTCTTTTATGTTGAGTGCAAGGTTTAAGACCACGTTTAAACTCTTAGAGAATAATTCCTTTGTTTTGCACTAACGCTGTAAACTCATATGGTAACGGCTTTCGCCACAATTCTTTACAATACTCCAAAAGTGGCACAACATTCCAAACGTTTTCATTCAGTTTTTTCATTACTTCTACGAGCAAGTACTGAAATACCTTGTCAAGTCCTGATGCCCTGATGAGGAAGGCCGCTGGGAACTGGTGACCGCGGGCCGTTCCAGAAGACGGAGTATTGTTACACTGGAGAACATCTTCATATTCAGACTTCCCCTGGGCGAACTCATAGTCCTGTAAAATAAACGCACGATTCAACGGCAAATATAATGATTTTTAAAAGGCTATCATGACCTTAACCATGCAAGTTGACGAAGAAATGAAGAAAAAAGGAGGGAAACGAATGAATGGATGAATAAATGAACGAGCGAACAAGTGACGAAAGAATGAAAGAATAGATGGATGGGTGGGTGGGTGGATGGATGGATGGATGGATGGATGGACGGACGGACGGACGGATGGCTGGG